TGGCCTGGGTTATTAATGGACGGAAAGGTGTCACACCTGCACAGCGCATAACTAAGATTTTCCTTTTACAGAATGTCTGGATGGAGTGCAGCAAACTGATTCTGTTCCAAATGTATAAACATTGTGTTGTGGACATGAGCAATATGGGTTGAATGTTTTCCAGGGGAAAAGGACCCTGAATGCTGTTAAGTGCAAGAAATGATCCAGTGATAATGTTTCAGGTTGTTGATTCCACAGGTCACATTAAAAGGGAAGACCGGCCAGACAAGCAGATGAGTTAATAATAGATGCTGTCACTAACAAATAATTAAGGTCTCCATTCACAGGTGAAAGCAGGCAAGAAGTGTTTCACTCCAGTGGGGGCCGTGATTTAAGGGAAACCTTGTAAGGATCAGAAAATGGTTGGAGAATGTGATGATTTTGGTTGAATCAAACTAAGTATTGATTTGATTGATTTGTCTGTACGGTATATTAGAGTTAATTTTGAACAACTAATTTGGTTAGAGGAATGGATACAATTATAAGACTTCTCTGGTTAGATTTGTTAAATAGTGCATTCAATAGAGCTTACTAAATTGAATTAGAAGCGAATAAAATATAGAGATGGGCATATTAAGATTAATGAGAAAAGCTTAATGGTAGGAGTTAGGATTGTATGTTATTCTGATAATTTTGTTATTCAAGGGTGAATACGATTACAGAGACAGGTGAAAACCTGCTGTCTGTTCAATTGGTAAAAATGACAGTCTATCCCAAGGATGAACAAAATTATGCGACGAGACAGGTAGCGGAAGCTACAGTGAGAAATGTGTTAAATTTATGCATGTACGTATATTTTATTTTCCTAATTCTAATCTATAATCTTTTTCTTATTCATGATGAGGTGACTGCGGGTCTGATTTTTATCAGGAGTGCAATAACAGTGATTATTCATTTAGCCCAGCTTCAGATGAATTGCTTTACTTGCTTGCTAATTATTAAAGGGTAACTAAACCCCTGGTCAGAGCCTGACTCCACCCACTAGCAATATTTGAAAAATGCTGAAAAAATGGGCAGACCCCAGCGGGGCTAGGGGGCGTGCACCTGAGACCCGCCGTGAGTGACAGCTGCTGTCAGACTCTAAAATAGAGCGAGACTAGTCTGGAGTGACTCAATAGCTGCCTTTGCAACAGAGCGGCCATTTGAAGTCGAGGACTTTTCTCCCTCACCTTCACCTTCACCTGAAGTGGATGAGGGTGAATTGTATGTATACACAGGGCCAAATCCATTCGAGCTGCTGGCTCAAACTGCGGTCTTAACTCCCGCATCGCGACCGGCATCTGATGACTTATGTCGTCGAGTTGATCTCAATAGCGCACGCTATTGATATTATGCCGCTATATGAAAAAATCCAGCAAAATGCACCGGCTCGTTTGTCGACCCTAGAGGATTAACTTTATCCTAACCATAAATTGTGATTAAAATATCCATGATCACTCACATCAAGACGCCGCTGCGGTGGAGGAGTCCATGCAGGACGAGCAGTGTTTGGCACTGCGTGTGGAGAAGCCCATAGCTGTGTCTGAAATCGCTCCCTATCCACTAAATAGTGCACTATATCGGGTGTCGGCCATTTTGTAGTGGTGTCCGAATTCTGAGTGAACGACATCATTCCCTACATTCATTCACTACTTTTACCCACAATCCTCTCTGAATTCGAGTGTACATTCGATGTACACTCGCTGAAGCCCTATTTCCCACAATCCAATGCGGAGAGAACTGAGCGTGCATGAAAGTTCGGCGCGAGCAAGTTTAAACCAGAGATTACATTACATCCAGTGGAGGATTTGAAAAATATCCGTTAATCGTCGTTTTGAACATAATAACGGTCGCCGGAGGGCGCTCGACGACACGTCATCTGTGAACGTGAGAGTTAATGTACAATTTCAGTCGATGAAACTACAAAGCTGGCACGGAGGTATAATTACAAAATAAAGTCATTATGATTGTTATTGTTGTTAATATTATTTTATAAACTAGGTAATGTAAGATAAAAGGAGTTTTATCAGTACGCGTGACGAAGCCTTTTCTGCGACAGCTCCAACTCTCCGACGCACAGTGTAAACGTCAGCGTCCGAATTCACTCACTTCATCTCCTTCACTCCTTGCAGATATAGTGCACTCAAATGCCATACACTATATAGGGATTAGTGAATGAGTGAACGAGTGAGCGGTTTCAGACACAGCTCATGTCCACCTCTATTCCGTTACTATCCTGATCACTGTACTAAACACTGATAAATCTATGCTAACTTGAAGCTATCCTAACTGTACTATGCTACTAGCTACACAAAATAATCTAAATTATCTATATAATGCTATGCTAAATAGATGCAACAATACTCTATCCTGGTCGTTTTCAAAAATAATCTAAATAACTATATGCTATGCTAACTAGATGCTATTATATGCTATAGTATCCTGATCGTTTTCAATATTCATAAATCCAACTCCTGACTCGCTACAGTAGTTTTGACGGAACCAGATGCTTTTATACCAGGGGCTGCCAAGGGCGTGGTGAGCTCGCACCAAGGGTGTGACAGAGTGCGTCTGAGAGTTCGCTACGTCAGCAAGTACCCCTACTGCAGGAGCTTTCCGTTTAACCTGAAGAGGGCAGCACTCAGACGTTTTTACACCATATATTTGAAAATCAAAACACTTTATACTCAATTGTCAAAAAATGTACTCGAATCAATGAACAGCATTTATGAAGCTCCATTCTTACAGATCATTAACTAAAAAAAGTTGTTTTGGTGTTTAGTTACCCTTTAAGGAGCTAGTTAAAAAAAATTAAAAAAGTTAATTAAAAAAATCAGTTAAAAGTTAAAAAAATCCTCTGTGCCTCGAAGGTTTTCTATTTTTTTACCATTTCGATTCAATTATTGGCAATGGCGCCCCTAATTGCTGAGAAGGTGCCGTGCACAGAAGCGATGTCAAGGGGGTCTCTTGATTAGTTCGCGTATCGCGTCTTTTGCGCGCTCGAGGTCGTTATTTCAAATAGGCGATTAGGCGCACAGGAAGCGCGCTCATTATGCGCTCGCGGGAGGCGCGCTCATAAACTTTTCAGTATGGGAGTGCTCGTGCACCCAAACACTTAGGTATTTTTTCTCTTCTCCATAAAAAAATCTTTTAGCAGAGCTTTAGCAAGCGTTTTTCTGTGGTGGAAATACATTAGCTACTAAAACTTGTTTTTCATTGAGGAGAGCCCAGTGCATGGTTGTATAGCAACGACAGCCATGGGCAAATCGGTCCGAATTTTACTATTAATAATAAAAGATAAGCTACTGTGCATTATAAATGTCAGGAATGTATCTTTATTGACTCATTCTTTTTATAGAGATGATTGAATGCTGAAATATGAGGTATATATTTTTATAAAATCTCTTTTTGTGTTAACCTTTTTTAAAGTTTAGTAGGTAAGATAAAAGACACTCCTTTAAAACAAATCTTTAATGTTATTAACTTGGTGAATTGATTGTGTATTAGGCTTTTTGTGTATGTGATCATGTTGGTCACTATATTCATGAAATGAAAATAATTTACATAATGATCAACTTTGTGTTTTTACCAGTAGCCTATATGCAAAGTACAATTTTCTATTTTCTAACATTCTAACATTTTAAGAGTGACATAGGGCTACAAAAGCTATTTTAGGTCTATAACATTTTGGATAGTGTTTAATATGAGAGCTGTTCAAAATTATTTAAGCGATAAGAGATAAGTATTGTGTTACTAAATAAGTATCACTCAGACCCTTTTACTTTCAAAAACTCCATTTCGTGACAAATATTGTTTAACAAGCTATAACTAAAAGTGTGCCATGCATATCATTTAAGCCAATAACCAATGCGCTAATAGTTACTTCCTCTCTTTAAAGTTAGATTAATCTAGCAAAATAACTGGATTCTATTAACTGTGTTTTTCAAATGAACGGTATGTGATTTTATTGTTGGGTTGTTGTTGTTGTTGGGGGGGGGGCTCGAAGGGGGTCTCGCCCTGGGTGTAATTCAGAGTAGAACCGCCACTGATTTGAATCCTATTGCTTGTGGAATTTTACAGAGAGGCATGGCCTGCAGTAAATAACCTTGGGAGAGCTATATAGACAGACTCCGGCCTGTGTTCTGGGCGTCACTCTCTTCACAGTGTACCAATCTGTGTTAGCGACTGGGCCTATTCTTGCAAGAATAAACTTCTCCTTCTTTATTAATTTGACTCTGAAGTGTCTCTTACGCAGTGATGTCTGTTTATTGAATTTTTGCCTAAACAGAACACATTAATGTGAAGCTAAAATATACTTCAGCTGTATTTCTAAAGTAGATTTAAAGTGTATTAAAAATTATATTACACTAAATGTACTATGACAAAACCCTTACAAACAAGCGGTGAAAGTTCTTGATAAAAACCAGAGAAACCATTGTATTATTATAAAAAAAATACAACTTATTAACCTTTGACAGTTTTTAAAGCCTTGCTGACATGTGTCTGATGTATAAATTGATACATGATCTTGCACCACCCCCACTCAAGCAATGTGTGTCCTTTTGCAGAGATAATGTAAGGGTCAGCAAGGCTTCTGAGGTGACTGTTACACTCAATTTAGGAAAACTAAATTTGGACATTCAGCGTTTTCATTTGCAGCGGTTGAAAAGTGGAACCTAATCCCACATTACATTAGAGATTGTGCAAGCCTTAGCAGTTTTAAAATGTCGGTTAAGACTTGGCTGAAGGTGAATCAAATATGTGATCAATGATTCTTTTATATATTGTGTATTTCTATTTGTATTTTTTTATTTTCTATGTGTGTATTGCGTGTTTGTTGTCTTTTCTACTGTTCCTTGCCCAGGGACCACAGATGTAAATTAGCTGTACTGGTACAGGATTTGAAATGTGCATGGTCCCTGACAAATAAACTAATAAATAAAATAAAATAAAACATATTACACTGATACACATCCACACACCTCTGCGGAAGTGCTCTGTCCATTAATGGTGTGTTCACTTCCTGTAGCTACGCCCACTCCATTACCCCAGTGCAGGTGCAGCTGTGCAGCACCATAATACCATGGCAACCCAGCCAAGCCCATCCAATGTGGCAATGTCATCAGCACTGTGTGAGAAAACAAGAGGAAGTTCGATTAGGTCACACTTTAAATTAGCTGTCTTTACCTACTATGTACTTACATTAAAATGTATTATTGAGTACAATGTACTTAATGTATGTAATGTAAAATACTTGCTGCTATTTAGGTAGGAGACTGTTCAGGTCAGGCACATGATTGATGATATTTTGGGTTTAAGGGTGGGTTAAGGGGTAAAGGAAGGATCAACCGTGTAATTATAGATGTAAATACAGAAATTAATTAGGCTACAGATCTAACTACATACAGGATTTTTTTCAATATTTGTACAACATAAAAAAATGTATGTACACAATAAGTTAATTGTATCAAATTATTAATTCAAATGTTGGTACATAGTAGATACTTAATATAAAGAGGGAACCAGTATTTCACTGTCACAAATTTTTGCTCAAATGTTACAGAGACACCTAAAAGTAATAGTAGTGGCCACTATTAAAAAAAATATATGAATTTTTGCATTTATGAATTTTCAAGAGGGAATTTATTTTCCAAGTATTTTTTCAAAATGTATCACTTTAACTAAAGTACATTTTTTAAATAATGCTAAAACTGAAAGGGTTTATCTAATGCTATGCCATGCATTGTGACTTATTTACATTGTGAAAAAGTTAAAGAGTTTAGTACGGAAGCCCTGAACCGCAACCTAAAAAAAAAAAAAAAAAAATCAGTAAAAAAAAAAATCAGTAAAAAAAAAAAAATCTAGCATTTCGAGATTAAAGTCGAAACATTTCGAGATTAAAGTCGAAACATTTCGAGATTAATCTCGAAACATTTCGAGAATAAAGTAGAAATATTTCAAGATTAAAGTCGAAATATTTCGAGATTAAAGTCGAAACATTTCGAGAGACGAGAGTACGAGAATACAGTCTTCCGTAGAAGCTGCGCGTGTGTGCTTGCCATTGTCTCACATTGCCGCACACACAGGCATTCATAATGGCCAATAGCGAGTTTCACACTGTGTGTGTGTGTTTTGTTTCATCAAAGGAAATTCAACAGGTGCCAATCTACCAACATTAGGCTATAGGACGTTATGAATGAATGAATGAATAGGGCATTTATATAGCGCTTTCATATATGCCTACACTCAAAGTGCTTTACAATCATGTCAGAGAATCTCTCCTCAACCATAAGTGGTTATTAAATCTTAGGAAATCACAGGATCCGGCAAAATGATTGGATACAGAATGATGCACTTAAAATGTATCCAGAGCGTATTTAGGGTGAAGAGGGAGACCGAACAGTTACTGTTGTGTTCTCGACCCAGATAGTGTTGATGACTAGACGATCACGAAAACACCTCAGAAACACTGCCACTAGCACGTGTGACGTGTGTAGAATTTTGTCGAAAGCCCAGATAAAAGTAAAAAGCTACTATTTTGTGTTTATCCATGGCAGTGCGACTTCACACACACACACGTGCGCGCTCTGAGCCAGTGGACGCACACTGTAATGAATGCACAATATTTCGACTTTAATCTCGAAACATTTTGACTTTAATCTCGAAAAATTTCGACTTTAATCTCGAAACATTTCGACTTTAATCTCGAAATGCTAGATTTTTTTTTTTTTTTTACTGACTTTTTTTTTTTAGGTTCAGGGCTTTCGTAGTTTAGGATTATCATCCTAAACATAAAATCGTCCTAGTGATAAAAGATCCCTGTCATGAGTAGGAACTGCAGATGGTAAGTAGAACTGCATCAAAAAATGTCAGTATTTTGTTGGCAATCGGCACGCCTCCAGGAGCTTGACTGTTCCCGGAAAGAAGTGGTACAGTGGTACAGCTGTACAGTATCTGTCTGTTTTAAATCTGATAAAACTAAAGACTCTTGGGAGATATGAAGGATGCACTAGTTTAGGTGCTCCAGATTAACAATGAGAAACTGTGGATTATGTGCCCTTAATGGAGCATTTCACCCATTCAAACATTAACCTTTATTGAAAGTGGATCATATATGTAGTCGAATGTAAAATGATTTTTGAATTTGGTGCCCCCTTGACCGAGAAAAGACAGAAAATAACCGAAGGGTTATTTAACCCACAATGCAGCACGATGGAAAGCTCCACAAGCCACACCCACTAATCAGGAACTGTGCGTACATCAGAGAAATCATTCTTTCGTCAACAAGGCTTAGCTGCCACCAGAGTTTGAAATTCATTTCACAGAAAATTTCTAGTTAGTTGGCTGTGGCGAGCCGGGTGAGGGATGCGAGAGCGGCGCGAGAGGACGGTGCGAGGCCGATGGCGTGAGTGATAATGAAAGACAAGAGAAGCACCGACCGGTCTTGTATCTCTCACAGAGGAGCGGGAGCATAAATGGCAGATCTAGAGAGAAACAGGCCTGATTTTATGTTGTGTGTGGACATCAGTCATCAATGAGGGGCTGTTGGCTTATACTTTCGTTTTGTATTTGTTCATTTTACTATTAAAATGTTTAAATGTTCACCAATTCTCGCCTACTTCTTCCCACAACAACAAACCCTGTTAACGTTACATTGGCAAACTCATTAGTGAATTACTCCTCGTTTGTATTTCTTTCTAAATGGTGTATTACTGCATGATACCTGGATTTTCAGTCAGTTCAACTAGGATGGTTCATGTCACAACACAAATATTCGTCTGCTTGTCTGATTCACAGATTTCGTCCAGCAGAAATTGCCATTGTTGTGTCTTGCTCTTACTCTTGCTGTGTCCGTAGGCCGTAGCACGCAGTGAGAGCACATGAACCAGCAGTCCGCCTCAGCTCGAGCCAGTACGGGCTACTCGACCGACAGGCAGCCGCCTCCTGCTCCTGATCAGCCTCAGCTGCTCTTCACTAACTTCGGAGTTAGTGCGGCTCGTAAATATAGCCACTAACTTCGGATTTGAGCAGTAGACTTTCAAAATCCTCTTCTTCCTTATCATGTTTAGTTTCTTCTGTCATTGTCATACTTCCTATCTCCATAGCGCCACAGCGCTTGTTATAGCTTCCAAAAACAAGTTGGCGGATATTGATTTCAGTTTCTGCAAGTGAAGTCCCACCCACTGATCTGTAATAGGCCTGTAGGGTGAGTGGGTCCCACACCCTTGAATAATGAGGAGCTAAGTTTGTAGTCTCTGTCATTTCAATGAAATGTGACTTCGAATAACGAAAAATGACGATTTTTAAGTCATAATAAGCAGGAAGTAAAACACTTAAATCCTTATTTCTCCCATTTCAGGGGAAAATAAGGGAATAAACCATGACCATTCAAAAAAATTTACTGGGTTTCTAAAGGTATAAAGCTTAATGCAAATGGGTGAAGTGTCCCTTTAATGCATTTTAGTCTAATATAGTTATATAAATATATAATTGTATATAAATATATTCATAAACATCATGATTGAAACCATATGTATTGTGAAAAGAACTATACTACACTCTAAAAAAATACTGGGTTGTCTTAGCCCAATTTTCGGTAAAACCTTTTGGGTTTTGTCCAAATTTTACCCAAAATTGGGTTGAAACAACCCAGCATTTTTTAGAGTGTAGTAAAATTGACTTGACAAAATTATCACCAAACGGGTGAACATAATCCACTCTGTCTTGGATGGCAGAGTTTTTGTTTTAAATCTTTACAGCTTACTGTAAGTGTGTGACAAATTTAGAATGGGTGAAAAATATCAATTTACCTGAATGGCCATTATTGGAGAGGATGAATGGTCTGTTACCAGGCTGGTTGTATCCCAGGGGCTGCACAGGGATTAGCGTTGGGTCATGTAGTGTTTGCAATGTGTCCACATTTATGGGTGACTGGCTGGAACCACCACAGTCAGGAAAAAACTCGGCCCATTCTGGCTGTCCCACAGCACCTAACACAACCAGAAAAGGGTGCCATAGCGAGGTGAATGTTGGTGTGGGAATCAGTCAATGAAAATGTGTGTGGAATTATAAATGATATAAATGCTAGTAAGTTAAAAATAAATCAAAGCATTTAGGGAGAATGTGTGTTGACATTATGTTCATTAAGCTCATAGTGAAGTACTAAGTGTTAAGTCATGCAAAGTTAATGGGGAAACACATGGCTACAAACCCACAGACTACACACACGTCAAGTGCTTAAACATTATGAAGTTAAATTAGCTATTGAAAGAAAAAGGGGGGACAGAGCAACAAAAACATAAACATATTAAAAAAGAAAAGGCAGAAAAAAAGTAGTTATTGGATAACAAAAGAAAACTTTGCATATGAGTCTGGGTCTTTCAGCTTGGTGCCAAGTGAGTTCTGTGTACACAGGGATTAGAGGCCCCCTCAGTCTCACTGTTCACCACGAATATCCCCCAAACCCCTGTTCCACTCCAAAATGTGGGGAGGGGAGGCAGGGTTGCTCTCATTGATTTGTGGTTGCCAAGGAGATCTCTATGACAACTGCAAGACACATATTTCATGCCTCTGTCAGTTTACCTCTTGCATGCTGTCTCAAACATGGACAGGGAACAAAGCATCACTCAACCAAGTAACTGTTTTATTCAGAAATAATGAGTTGGTTTACAACAATGGCACACACATTGTACAGGCTTGGAAATGTGTCCTGGAATGTGTGTGTAGAAGGTATAACAGTAGAAATCATTCAAACAGAAATCTTGTATAAGAAAAATAAAGGAAAATAATTTTTCGTTAAAAAAAGAACAATATATACAGCATGTCATTGTGATTTTATTTGTCATATGTCAGTGAAGCACATTTTGACAACCCCTCATTTCTCTCATTTACTGTGAATAAAAATGCAGAATACAATGGTTTTTCTTCATTATATCTGCATCAATTCAATGGATTTTACCAAATACAAGCATGCCTTATAAATACTTAAATATTATATTACAATACAATAATGAGAATTTGCATATTACATTGGCTTAATTGTCATAAAATTGTCATCACCATCTAAACAGTTTTTAAATAGGCTTAATTTTAAATAAGCAAAATATAATTGATTCGATTTATTTATTTAATTTAGACAAATTATTGATGGGTTGTATGAGATTCACCTGGACATTATTTTGTATTTCAGCATTCTGTTATTCTTTTTACAGTTATGTTTTTGGTTCTGGACACTCATTAGCACAGATTATGTACCAGTTTAGAGCATGCAATGCAAAATATGGCTAAATAAGCTTTTCCGAAAGCCTTATTACGACAAGAATGTCACAAGATTACATTGGGTTGTTCCAAAATGGCATTGCTGTTCAAGCAGAGCAGCCTCCTATTCTTCACCATTCTTTTGTATCAAATTAAGCTACTTAAATGCAACCGGTGGACTTGCACTGGTGGACATCTCTCTCTCTCTCTCTCTCTCTCTCTCTCTCTCTCTCTCTCTCTCTGAGTATGTGATGCTACTATGGAAGAGTTTAAATGGAAGTAACAAAATAAGTAGTTTGAAAAGAAAAAGAAATAGAAGAACATAATTGAGGGAAAAGGTAAGCTTGATTAATAATATTATTTTCCAAAAAAACAAACAAATAGCTAAATCTTCAAAAGGCTTTTTCACAGAAGCTTTGACCCTTTCACAGAAGCTTTGAAATTTGAAGAAATTCAAAAGTATTTTCCATTATGCATATCTATGATAGTTATCAATTCAAGTTATCTATGATATCCTAATTGCAACTAAATAACACAATGAAAGTGAAAGAAAATCTGTCACAAAATCATGTAGAATGAGAGGGGGAAAAAATAAAGAAGTGTATTACCTGCATATGTCCATTCTTTTGCTTAAAATAGGAGGAAAAATATAATAAAAGTTACAATGGATTTGCTATGTATTTCAGCACTTTTTAATTTATTGACTCAAACAGTTAGTGTCTAACACATCAGAGCAGTTTAATTATTCTACAATTAAAAGTTCCTGAAGCATCAAAACTATAATTTGTCCTAAATTCCTTCAACATTGTTACAAAATGCTATTGTATGCAAAGTCTCACCTGTTCCTGAGCACTCCACACACTTCAAAAAGAGAGAAAGAGACACTGTTATCCAGACAAGGTCCATGCTTTCACCCTCCTCTCCACAGGCCTCACACACTCACAAAACGTAGAAATGTTGGAAATCCAAGTATTAAAAGGTCAACAGCAGAACGGCTTGAAAAATGTACGTTTCGAAAAACATTCACAAAGAAAAAGTAATTATTGGTCCTTTTTTGTATCTGAATGATTTGGATTGTGGAAGAGAGAGGCCATTGCATGCCACAAAATAAGATTAAGAGTTATGCCATGAAGAGAGAGAGAGAGAGAACCGGAAGGAGAAAAGGGCAAATGAACGAGAAAATCACTTGCTGCTGGACGCTGAAAAATGTGCATGACACAACTAGCTGAGGGGGGAGGTTTGGGGGCAAAGCCTGATTGAAGGGGTACTGAGGTGATAATAAAGAGAGAATGAATAGAGACAGTCAGAGAGAGAGAGAGAGAGAGAGAGAGAGAGAGAGAGAGAGAACAGAGAATAGAAAGTTCAGAAACCATTTAGTTTATTTACTGTATAAACTGCAAATAATTTTTTACAAAGTTTTTTTTTTTTTTTGGCATGCATATCTACCATATTGTCAATTTAATACATTAAATTAGCTGTACATGATAATGCAGACATTGATTAAAACATCATAATTGACAGATACAGGACATTTGGCTATTTTTATTTCTCAAACAGAATGTAACTGCAGTAAACACAAAGTTCAGTAGCCCTGTCCAGTGTCCAGTGATTTGAGCACAACAAGTGAATAACAGACACGATACTAATGGTGCTGGATCGAGCAACTATAAGCGAAAAACACAGTAGCTGCATTGGATTTGCAGAGAGCCTGAAATTAATTTTTTTTTCATCAAATTACATTCATAATCGGCCTTACAGGCGCTAAGTGTGTCTGTGTTGTGTTTAGTTCAGTCTTAGAATGTTTCAGCAATTCAAGTGTGTCCCCAGCCTTTTCTATTTCCATATGCAAAGACATTGTGGATTTTTCTTTTCTTTTTTTTTCTTTTTTTTGTATTTAAATGTTAAAGGTGCCCTCTGGCATTTAAAATCAAATCATACAACATATTTCATACCAGATGGGGGCAGTATACCTCCAGAAATACCTCCACGGCGCACTCTCATGTCCAGGGCCGGCGCTCCGCACACGCACATCACGCACTGCGCGTAGGGCACCAAGTGCTTGGGGGGGCACCAAAAAATCTGGGTCGTGAAAAATCATCACAATAGGCTACTAGTATAAATAACAAATAAAATATGTCTAAAGCATGTTAATATACAAAAGCAATACAAAAGTAATATGCCTAGGCTAGACCAAATTGGAGAAAAAGGTGAATCTCCTGTGCCAGTCTCCCTCTGGTGCCCCCCCTTCCCCACCTTGCAGTGGTCTGTTCCTCAATCAGTGTCAAATTTGGCAGACACCTGATCGACATCAGACATGGCCTCGAAAAGGCACAAAGAGTCGGGGGCGGAAAAGGGGGAAAAGAAGAGACAGCGGGATAATACTCGCTTGCAGTTAAGACAATGTTTTAAATAAAAGTGTTAGTTTTGTAGGCGCCCTTGCTTCGTGTATGCATGTCCAGGGGGGCGTCGCTAGTAGTTGTGCAAATGATCCAGGGCTTTGCTCAGCATGTAGAATCTTTTATTTTAACGGGGGTCCGGGGGTTTCTCCGGGAAATTTTTCAACTTGGGCTGTTTAAGATGCAGTTAGTTTGTTTGAGAAGAAAAGGAAGACCGCTTAGATACGTTTTTTCGTTGTTGTTCTATGCGGATAATGCGGTCAAAGGCCCAAGGGCGACATCTGTTGGTGAAACTGCAATTAGAATTATTATTAGATTAGATTATTAGGGCTGGGAAAAGCTTAATCACATCCAAAATAAAAGTTTCTACATGATCTGTGAGTGTACTGTATATAATTATTTTGTAATATACACACATATGCACATATATATTTAAGAAATATTTGCATGTATATACTGTATATATTTATAGATAATTTATATTATATATAAATTAAAATATTTTATATATAAATAACAAATATTTCTTAAATACATACATGCAAATGTGCATTTATATATATATACAAAATAAGTATACACACACACATAGGCCTATATCATTAATGTAGACACAAACATTATTTTGGATGCGATTAATCACGATTAATCTTTTCCCAGCCCTACAAATTATGTACAGAATTATTATATTGTGCCTCATCAGACCTCTTTTAAAGGTAGAATAGAGTTTTGAGTTTTAAATGTTCCAGTGACACATAGGCCTATATTATATAAAAGACTAATGTGTGCAATATTTTTGTATGATGGTTAATGATTCAGTAGAATCCATGAATATTTTGTCTTGTATTTCTGAATGCAGGGTCAATGCTAAAATACATGGGTATGGGTGGTTGGGGGGTGGGGTGGGGTGGGGGGTATGGGGGCACCACCAAGCATTTGTGCTTAGGGCACCCAAATGGCTAGTGCCGGCCCTGCTCATGTCTTCAAACAACACGGGCGAGCGTTGTGTTGCTCTGTCTCCCTCGTGCATATTAATCAAATCCATTGACACGATAGTAAAAGGTTGGAAGACCGCAGTTTCACGTGGAGCACTTGAAGATTTTTACAGATTAGAGACTAAATGAACAACAAACATCTCAATACAAAATTATAAAGGCAGTGCATTTCGACGATATGGGAAAATTAAAGCCCAGGCTATTATTTCTAGTTTTATGATATTCGTTTTGTTCATATTACATTTTTATCATTAGTTTTAATTAATTTGACAGACAGCATTCCCTGATGTGGACCAAGCTAGCATCTTTCAGAGCTGCCAACTCTCACAACACTTTTCACACACTCTAATGCCACACATCAATTTTGTCATGCACAGAAAAGGACACGGAGACCGATGTCAGCTCTCAGATTCTGTTAATTTTATTACGCAATTCAAACAATAAATACAGTATTGGCGCTTTACACGACAGATCCCTAACGCACGTTAACCGATCATCTCTACTAGCTTATGGTAAAAGAACACGAACACTGTTGAAAGATACAGTATGTTACAACACAACTTATCAAAATGTATTCCTCATGCATAATATCGACCAATTATTTTTTCAACTCTTCCCTGAACTGAAATGTAGTGGTGGGCTGTATTTTCCACACGACTGACATCAGGTTCAAGTACACACAAGCCGCCGACTTACTCGTGTACATCAGTTTGGCTGGTGGTAATGTTGCCTGCCCGCATACCGCCTCCCATGGCTGAAACTGGTATTACGACACCTGCCGGGCCAGGGCTAGTAATTTAGCATGCTAATTCAGGGTAATATATTGGCAGCACTATAGCTTGTCATTTTTTTAATGACATCATCAACCTTATTTCTTCTCATTCTTTTGATGCTTGTAGCTCATTTTTGGGATATTTTATCCTCAGTTTTTACAGATGGCACCTTTAAATGTGCTATGTGACTATAATTTTTTGTTATCTGAGTGTTGATTTTGATTGTTCTTTACTTTCCCCAAAAAGTGTCACAAACAACCTGAATTCTCCCTATATATGCATGCATAGGGCTAAACATGTTTTGAAATACTTAAGTTGTGTTTAATGTTAATAAGATTTATTTAATATTATATTTAATAATATTCAAATGTATTTGGCATTATATTTATCAAGATTCATTTACAGTAATACAATAGGCCTACACTCATTTTAGTTTGGTTTCCATTGAAAATAGTTCCTAATTCGTTTGTTCCTCTTTAGTGATTGTTGTAATGCAGCACCCTCTTGTGAGACTTCTTACTGGTAGATTTTATATATACTGTATATTAAGGCAGTTCTGAAGGCAAAAGGGGCTCAAACACAGTATTAGTATGGTGTTCCTAATAATCCTTGTATGTGTATATCAGTGGTGGAAAGAGTACTGACAAATTGTACTTAAGTAAAAGTATTGTTACTTAAGTAATAATTGAGTACAAGTACTGAAAAATAATATGACTCAAGTAAGAGTAAATAAGTAGTTTGCTTAAAAACTACTCAAGTAACTACGTTACAAAGTACTTCAGTGTTTTTCTATTTTTACCCAAAATGGGGAGATGATAGCAAAATGGAGCGCTAAACACTCGCATGTCATCTGTTTCATTCATACTGAAGGCTCAGTACTGATGCATAGAAGTATTAAACTAACACATTTCAGGAAATGCCTTATATGTCTGGCTCTTCCAAACTTTATAATGGCAGTGACTGGATGAAAATGCCCAAAAAAAATGCCCAAAAAAGTGCATCCATCCATGATAAAAGTGCTCCACATATAGACTAACGTTACTAGCTTTCTCTGCTGTCAAGAGCAATTTTTTTATTACTAATTTTGAAAAGAAAGGTAAGATCATTTGAATGTTTTGATTTGAATCATTTTTAATTGAAAGCAAAGAAGGTTAATTGAGGTCCGATAAAAAAAGGTATGAAAAACAATAAAACAGTATGAATAAAAAATTCCCAGTTAAAAAAAAAATAAGTGGGGTATGGTTAACGTGTTATCTTTTTTTCGCTATGGTTGTAGCCTACCGAAAATGTGCTGGGAGCCACTGTTGCTATAGGAACGAACTACACTTTTACATGCATCTGATTGACAGATAAATCATCATGCGATCTTATTTCACTGTTTTTTCAGCTTTGTACAAAGTTTGCTTCGTATATTTATTTTAACTGTATTGTTAAACAGGGCAAGCTTTACCATTAATTGAACTGTGTGCATGTATTTTAGACACTTACATTGATCTTGCTCCGTCCATGCAATAACTGCGTCCATGTTATGAGCCGAGCTTTTTTATTTACTTCAACTGCTCAGTGCTCTGGTATTATCAATGGTATGACCCATTTCAGTAGTTGCCATAATTAAATATGAGCAGAATACTCACTTACATTCACTGAAATATTGAAACGTTAGCGCTACTGATTCAAAAAACGAGCGCCTGTCATAGACATCATATAGGTAGACGCCCTATCGAATGCTACTGCCTATTAGCACGGACGAGAATTGGAGCCGCCATCTTAAACCGGTCATCCGCTCCGCTCAGAGTAATCTGAATGGTAGGTGAAATTAGCTGTCAGCGCATTAAATGAATCATATCTCACTGAATACTGAACTGATTTTCACGCGGTTTTTTTTTTTGCTGCAAAGGTCATTCATGTAGCTATGATACAGGACACATGGTTCGGCGTATTTTAATACCATTGTAGGTTTAACAATAATATAATATTCTGATATAAGATAAGTGACCAGATACAATATGTGTGATGAAGGAT